CCCGCCCCATTCTCCCGCTTTCCATCACTCGGCCCATTCTCCCTCCTTCCATCACCTCGCCCCATTCTCCCTCCTTCCATCACCCCACCCCATTCTCCCGCTTTTCATCACCCCGCCCCATTCTCCCGCTTTCCATCACCCCTCCCCATTCCCCCTCCTTCCATCACCCCGCCCCATTCTCCCGCTTTCCATCACCCCGCCCCATTCTCCCTCCATCACCCCGCCCCGTTCTCCCGCTTTCCATCACCCCGCCCCATTCTCCCGCTTTCCATCACCCCGCCCCATTCTCCCGCTTTCCATCACCCCAGGCCCATTCTCCCCCCTTCCATCACCCCGCCCCATTCTCCCTCCTTCCATCACCCCGCCCCATTCTCCCGCTTTTCATCACCCCACCCCATTCTCCCGCTTTCCATCACGCGCCCAATTTTCCCGCTTTCCATCACACCGCCCCATTCTCCCGCTTTCCATCACCACGCCCCATTCTCCCGCTTTCCATCACCCCTCCCCATTCTCCTGCTTTTGATCAGCCCGCCCCATTTTCCCGCTTTCCATCACCCCACCCCATTCTCCCGCTTTCCATCATCCCGCCTAATTCTCCCGCTTTCCATCACCCCGCCCCATTCTCCCGCTTTCCATCACCCCGCCTCATTCTCCCGCTTTCCATCACCCCGCCTCATTCTCCCGCTTTCCATCATCCCGCCCCATTCTCCCTCCTTCCATCACCTCACCCCATTCTCTCGCTTTCCATCACCCCGCCTAATTCTCCCGCTTTCCATCACCCTGCCCCATTCTCCCGCTTTCCATCTCCCCACCCCATTCTCCCGCGCTCCATCACCCCGCCCCATTCTCCCGCTTTCCATCACCGTCCCATTCTCCCGCTTTCTATCACCCCGCCCGATTCTCCCGCTTTCCATCACCCCGCCCCATTCTCCCGCTTTCCATCACCCCGCCCCATTCTCCCACTTTCCATCAACCCACCCCATGCTCCCGCTTTCCATCACCCCGCCCCATTACCCCTCCTTCTATCAACCCGCCAAATTCTCCCGCTTTCCATCACCCTGCCCCATTCTCCCGCTTTCCATCACCCCGCCCCATTCTCCCGCTTTCCATCACCCCGGCCCATTCTCCCTCCTTCCATCACCTCGCCCCATTCTCCCTCCTTCCATCACCCCACCCCATTCTCCCGCTTTTCATCACCCCGCCCCATTCTCCCGCTTTCCATCACCCCTCCCCATTCCCCATCCTTCCATCACCCCGCCCCATTCTCCCGCTTTCCATCACCCCGCCCCATTCTCCCTCCATCACCCCGCCCCGTTCTCCCGCTTTCCATCACCCCGCCCCATTCTCCCGCTTTCCATCACCCCGCCCCATTCTCCCGCTTTCCATCACCCCAGCCCATTCTCCCTCCTTCCATCACCCCGCCCCATTCTCCCTCCTTCCATTACCCCGCCCCATTCTCCCGCTTTTCATCACCCCACCCCATTCTCCCGCTTTCCATCACGCGCCCAATTTTCCCGCTTTCCATCACACCGCCCCATTCTCCCGCTTTCCATCACCACGCCCTATTCTCCCGCTTTCCATCACCCCTCCCCATTCTCCTGCTTTTGATCAGCCCGCCCCCATTTTCCCGCTTTCCATCACCCCACCCCATTCTCCCGCTTTCCATCACCCCGCCCCATTCTCCCGCTTTCCATCATCCCGCCCCATTCTCCCTCCTTCCATCACTACACCCCATTCTCCCGCTTTCCATCACCCCGCCTAATTCTCCCGCTTTCCATCACCCCACCCCATTCTCCCGCTTTCCATCACCCCGCCTAATTCTCCCGCTTTCCATCATTCCGCCCCATTCTCCCGCTTTCCATCACGCGCCCAATTTTCCCGCTTTCCATCACACCGCCCCATTCTCCCGCTTTCCATCACCCCGCCCCATTCTCCCGCTTTCCATCACCCCGCCCCATTCTCCTGCTTTCGATCACCCGCCCCATTTTCCCGCTTTCCATCACCCCGCCTCATTCTCCCGATTTCCATCACCCCGCCCCATTCTCCCTCTTTTTATCACCCCGCCAGATTCTCCCGCTTTCCATCACCCTGCCCGATTCTCCCGCTTTCCATCACCCCGCCCTATTCTCCCGCTTTCCATCACCCCGCCCCATTCTCCCGCTTTCCATCACCCCGCCCCATTCTCCTGCTTTCCATCACCCCGCCCCATTCAACCGCTTTCCATCACCCCGGCCCATTCTCCTGCTTTCCATCATCCCGCCCATTCTCCCACTTTCCATCACCCTGCCCCATTCTCCCGCTTTCCATCACCCCACCCCTTTTTCCCGCTTTCCATCACGCGCCCCATTTTCCCGATTTCCATCACACCGCCCCATTCTCCCTCCTTCCATCACCCCACCCCATTGTCCCGCTTTTCATCACCCCGCCCCATTTTCCCGCTTTCCATCACCCCGCCCCATTCTCCCGCTTTCCATCACCCCGCCCCATTCTCCCGCTTTCCATCACCCCGCCCCACGCTCCCGCTTTCTATCACCCCGCCCCATTCTCCCGCTTTCCATCACCCCACCCCATTCTCCCGCTTTCCATCACCCCGCCCCATTCTCCCGCTTTCCATCATCCCGCCCCATTCTCCCTCCTTCCATCACCACACCCCATTCTCCCGCTTTCCATCACCCCGCCTAATTCTCCCGCTTTCCATCACCCCGCCCCATTCTCCCGCTTTCCATCACCCCGCCTCATTCTCCCGCTTTCCATCACCCTGCCCCATTCTCCCTCTTTCCATCACCCCGCCCGATTCGCCCGCTTTCCATCACCCCGCCCGATTCTCCCGCTTTCCATCACCCCGCCCCATTCTCCCTCTTTCCATCACCCCGCCCCATTCTCCCGCTTTTCATCACCCTGCCCCATTCTCCCGCTTTCCATTACCCCGCCCCATTCTCCCGCTTCCCATCACCCCACCCCATTCTCCCGCTTTCCATCACCCCGCCCCATTCTCCCGCTTTCCATCATCCCGCCCCATTCTCCCTCCTTCCATCACCTCACCCCATTCTCTCGCATTCCATCACCCCGCCTAATTCTCCCGCTTTCCATCACCCTGCCCCGTTCTCCCGCTTTCCATCTCCCCACCCCATTCTCCCGCGCTCCATCACCCCGCCCCATTCTCCCGCTTTCCATCACCGTCCCATTCTCCCGCTTTCTATCACCCCGCCCGATTCTCCCGCTTTCCATCACCCCGCCCCATTCTCCCGCTTTCCATCACCCCGCCCCATTCTCCAACTTTCCATCAACCCACCCCATTCTCCCGCTTTGCATCACCCCGCCCCATTACCCCTGCTTCTATCAACCCGCCAAATTCTCCCGCTTTCCATCACCCCGCCCCATTCTCCCGCTTTCCATCACCCCGCCCCATTCTCCCGCTTTCCATCACCCCGCCCCATTTTCCCGCTTTCCATCACCCCGCCCCATTCTCCCGCTTTCCATCACCCCGGCCCATTCTCCCTCCTTCCATCACCTCGCCCCATTCTCCCTCCTTCCATCACCCCACCCCATTCTCCCGCTTTTCATCACCCTGCCCCATTCTCCCGCTTTCCATCACGCGCCCCATTTTCCCTCTTTCCATCACACCGCCCCATTCTCCCGCCTTCCATCACCCCGCCCCATTCTCCCGCTTTCCATCACCCCGCCCCCATTCTCCCGCTTTCCATCTCCCCGCCCCATTTTCCCGCTTTCCATCACCCCACCCCATTCTCCCGCTTTCCATCACCCCGCCTCATTCTCCCGCTTTCCATCATCCCGCCCCATTCTCCCTCCTTCCATCACCACACCCCATTCTCCCGCTTTCCATCACCCCGCCTAATTCTCCCGCTTTCCATCACCCTACCCCATTCTCCCACTTTCCATCACCCCACCCCATTCTCCCGCTTTCCATCACCCCGCCCCATTCTCCCGCTTTCCATCACCCCGCCCCATTCTCCCGCTTTCCATCACCCCGCCCCATTCTCCCGCTTTCCATCACCCCGCCCCATTCTCCCGCTTTCCATCACCCCACCCCATTCACCCGCTTTCCATCACCCCGCCCCATTCTCCCGCTTTCCATCACCCCGCCCCATTCTCCCTCCTTCCATCACCACACCCCATTCTCCCGCTTTCCATCACCCCGCCCCATTCTCCCGCTTTCCATCACCCCGCCCCATTCTCCCGCTTTCCATCACCCCGCACCATTCTCCCGCTTTCCATCACCCCGCCCCATTCTCCCGCTTTCCATCACCCCGCCCCATTCTCCCGCTTTCCATCACCCCGGCCCATTCTCCCTCCTTCCATCACCCCGCCCCATTCTCCCTCCTTCCATCACCCCGTCCCATTCTCTCGCTTTTCATCACCCCACCCCATTCTCCCGCTTTCCATCACGCGCCCAATTTTCCCGCTTTCCATCACACCGCCCCATTCTCCCGCTTTCCATCACCATGCCCCATTCTCCCGCTTTCCATCACCCCTCCCCATTCTCCTGCTTTCGATCAGCCCGCCCCATTTTCCCGCTTTCCATCACCCCACCCCATTCTCCCGCTTTCCATCACCCCGCCCCATTCTCCCGCTTTCCATCATCCCGCCCCATTCTCCCTCCTTCCATCACTACACCCCATTCTCCCGCTTTCCATCACCCCGCCTAATTCTCCCGCTTTCCATCACCCCACCCCATTCTCCCGCTTTCCATCACCCCGCCTAATTCTCCCGCTTTCCATCACCCCACCCCATTCTCCCGCTTTCCATCACGCGCCCAATTTTCCCGCTTTCCATCACACCGCCCCATTCTCCCGCTTTCCATCACCCCGCCCCATTCTCCCGCTTTCCATCACCCCGCCCTATTCTCCTGCTTTCGATCACCCGCCCCATTTTCCCGCTTTCCATCACCCCACCCCATTCTCCCGCTTTCCATCACCCCGCCTCATTCTCCCGCTTTCCATCACCCCGCCCCATTCTCCCTCTTTCTATCACCCCGCCAGATTCTCCCGCTTTCCATCACCCTGCCCGATTCTCCCGCTTTCCATCACCCCGCCCCATTCTCCCGCTTTCCATCACCCCGCCCCATTCTCCCGCTTTCCATCACCCCGCCCCATTCTCCCGCTTTCCATCACCCCGCCCCATTCTCCCGCTTTCCATCACCCCGGCCCATTCTCCCGCTTTCCATCACCCCGCCCATTCTCCCCCTTTCCATCACCCTGCCCCATTCTCCCGCTTTCCATCACCCCACCCCTTTTTCCCGCTTTCCATCACGCGCCCCATTTTCCCGATTTCCATCACACCGCCCCATTCTCCCGCTCTCCATCACCCCGCCCCATTCTCCCGCTTTCCATCACCCCGCCCCACTCTCCCGCTTTCTATCACCCCGCCCCATTCTCCCGCTTTCCATCACCCCACCCCATTCTCCCGCTTTCCATCACCCCGCCCCATTCTCCCGCTTTCCATCATCCCGCCCCATTCTCCCTCCTTCCATCACCACACCCCATTCTCCCGCTTTCCATCACCCCGCCTAATTCTCCCGCTTTCCATCACCCCGCCCCATTCTCCCGCTTTCCATCACCCCGCCTCATTCTCCCGCTTTCCATCACCCCGCCCCATTCTCCCTCTTTCCATCACCCCGCCCGATTCGCCCGCTTTCCATCACCCCGCCCGATTCTCCCGCTTTCCATCACCCCGCCCGATTCTCCCGCTTTCCATCACCCCGCCCCATTCTCCCGCTTTCCATCACCCCGCCTCATTTTCCCGCTTTCCATCACCCCGCCCCATTCTCCCTCTTTCCATCACCCCGCCCGATTCGCCCGCTTTCCATCACCCCGCCCGATTCTCCCGCTTTCCATCACCCCAGCCCATTCTCCCGCTTTCCATCACCCCGCCCCATTCTCCTGCTTTTCATCACCCCGCCCCATTCTCCCGCTTTCCATCACCCCCGCCCCATTCTTCCGCTTTCCATCACCCCGCCCCATTCTCCCGCTTTCCATCACCCCGCCCCATTCTCCCTCCTTCCATCACCCCGCCCCATTCTCCCTCCTTCCATCACCCCGCCCCATTCTCTAGCTTTCCATCACCCCGCCCCATTCTCCCGCTTTCCATCACCCCGCCCCATTCTCCCGCTTTCCATCACCCCCGCCCCATTCTCCCGCTTTCCATCACCCCGCCCCATTCTCTCGCTTTCCATCACCCCGCCCCATTCTCCCGCTTTCCATCACCCCGCCCCATTCTCCCGTTTTCCATCACCCAGACCCATTCTCCCGCTTTCCATCACCCCGCCCCATTCTCCCTCCTTCCATCACCCCGCCCCATTCTCCCTCCTTCCATCACCCCGCCCCATTCTCCCGCTTTCCATCACCCGCCCCATTCTCCCGCTTTCCATCACCCCGCCCCATTCTCCCGCTTTCCATCACCCCGCCCCATCCTCCCGCTTTCCATCACCCCGCCCCATTCTCCCGCTTTCCATCACCCCGCCCCATTCTCCCGCTTTCCATCACCCCGCCCCATTCTCCCGCTTTCCATCAACCCGCCCCATTCTCCCGCTTTCCATCACCCCGCCCCATTCTCCCGCTTTCCATCACCCCGCCCCGTTCTCCCGCTTTCCATCACCCCGCCTCATTTTCCCGCTTTCCATCACCCCGCCCCATTCTCCCTCTTTCCATCACCCCGCCCGATTCGCCCGCTTTCCATCACCCCGCCCGATTCTCCCGCTTTCCATCACCCCAGCCCATTCTCCCGCTTTCCATCACCCCGCCCCATTCTCCTGCTTTTCATCACCCCGCCCCATTCTCCCGCTTTCCATCACCCCGCCCCATTCTTCCGCTTTCCATCACCCCGCCCCATTCTCCCGCTTTCCATCACCCCGCCCCATTCTCCCTCCTTCCATCACCCCGCCCCATTCTCCCTCCTTCCATCACCCCGCCCCATTCTCTAGCTTTCCATCACCCTGCCCCATTCTCCCGCTTTCCATCACCCCGCCCCATTCTCCCGCTTTCCATCACCCCGCCCCATTCTCCCGCTTTCCATCACCCCGCCCCATTCTCTCGCTTTCCATCACCCCGCCCCATTCTCCCGCTTTCCATCACCCCGCCCCATTCTCCCGTTTTCCATCACCCAGACCCATTCTCCCGCTTTCCATCACCCCGCCCCATTCTCCCTCCTTCCATCACCCCGCCCCATTCTCCCTCCTTCCATCACCCCGCCCCATTCTCCCGCTTTCCATCACCCGCCCCATTCTCCCGCTTTCCATCACCCCGCCCCATTCTCCCGCTTTCCATCACCCCGCCCCATCCTCCCGCTTTCCATCACCCCGCCCCATTCTCCCGCTTTCCATCACCCCGCCCCATTCTCCCGCTTTCCATCACCCCGCCCCATTCTCCCGCTTTCCATCAACCCGCCCCATTCTCCCGCTTTCCATCACCCCGCCCCATTCTCCCGCTTTCCATCACCCCGCCCCGTTCTCCCGCTTTCCATCACCCCGCCCCATTCTCCCGCTTTCCATCAACCCGCCCCATTCTCCCGCTTTCCATCACCCCGCCCCATTCTCCCGCTTTCCATCACCCCGCCCCGTTCTCCCGATTTCCATCACCCCGCCCCATTCTCCCGCTTCCATCACCCCGCCCCATTCTCCCGCTTCCATCACCCCGCCCCATTCTCCCGCTTTCCATCACCCCGCCCCATTCTCCTGCTTTCCATCACCCCGCCCCATTCTCCCGATTTCCATCACCCCGCGCCATTCTCCCGCTTCCATCACCCCGCCCCATTCCCCCGCTTTCCATCACCCCGCCCCATTCTCCCGCTTTCCATCACCCCGCCCCATTCTCCCTCCTTCCATCACCCCGCGCCATTCTCCCTCCTTCCATCACCCCAGCCCATTCCCCCGCTTTCCATCACCCCGCCCCATTCTCCCGCTTTCCATCACCCCGCCCCATTTTCCCGCTTTCCATCACCCCGCCCCATTCTCCCGCTTTCCATCACCCCGTCCCATTCTTCCGCTTTCCATCACCCCGCCCCATTCTCCCTCCTTCCATCACCCCGCCCCATTCTCCCGCTTTCCATCACCCCGCCCCATTCTCCCGCTCTCCATCACCCCGCCCCATTCTCCCGCTTTCCATCTCACCGCCCCATTCTCCCGCTTTCCATCACCCCGCCCCATTCTCCCGCTTTCCATCACCCCGCCCCATTCTCCCGCTTTCCATCACCCCGCCCCATTCTCCCGCTTTCCATCACCCCGCCTAATTCTCCCGCTTTCCATCACCCCACCCCATTCTCCCGCTTTCCATCACCCCGCCTAATTCTCCCGCTTTCCATCACCCCACCCCATTCTCCCGCTTTCCATCACGCGCCCAATTTTCCCGCTTTCCATCACACCGCCCCATTCTCCCGCTTTCCATCACCCCGCCCCATTCTCCCGCTTTCCATCACCCCGCCCTATTCTCCTGCTTTCGATCACCCGCCCCATTTTCCCGCTTTCCTTCACCCCACCCCATTCTCCCGCTTTCCATCACCCCGCCTCATTCTCCCGCTTTCCATCACCCCGCCCCATTCTCCCTCTTTCTATCACCCCGCCAGATTCTCCCGCTTTCCATCACCCTGCCCGATTCTCCCGCTTTCCATCACCCCGCCCCATTCTCCCGCTTTCCATCACCCCGCCCCATTCTCCCGCTTTCCATCACCCCGCCCCATTCTCCCGCTTTCCATCACCCCGCCCCATTCTCCCGCTTTCCATCACCCCGGCCCATTCTCCCGCTTTCCATCACCCCGCCCATTCTCCCACTTTCCATCACCCTGCCCCATTCTCCCGCTTTCCATCACCCCACCCCTTTTTCCCGCTTTCCATCACGCGCCCCATTTTCCCGATTTCCATCACACCGCCCCATTCTCCCGCTCTCCATCACCCCGCCCCATTCTCCCGCTTTCCATCACCCCACCCCACTCTCCCGCTTTTTATCACCCCGCCCCATTCTCCCGCTTTCCATCACCCCACCCCATTCTCCCGCTTTCCATCACCCCGCCCCATTCTCCCGCTTTCCATCATCCCGCCCCATTCTCCCTCCTTCCATCACCACACCCCATTCTCCCGCTTTCCATCACCCCGCCTAATTCTCCCGCTTTCCATCACCCCGCCCCATTCTCCCGCTTTCCATCACCCCGCCTCATTCTCCCGCTTTCCATCACCCCGCCCCATTCTCCCTCTTTCCATTACCCCGCCCGATTCGCCCGCTTTCCATCACCCCGCCCGATTCTCCCGCTTTCCATCACCCCGCCCGATTCTCCCGCTTTCCATCACCCCGCCCCATTCTCCCGCTTTCCATCACCCCGCCTCATTCTCCCGCTTTCCATCACCCCGCCCCATTCTCCCTCTTTCCATCACCCCGCCCGATTCGCCTGCTTTCCATCACCCCTCCCGATTCTCCCGCTTTCCATCACCCCAGCCCATTCTCCCGCTTTCCATCACCCCGCCCCATTCTCCTGCTTTCCATCACCCCGCCCCATTCTCCCGCTTTCCATCACCCCGCCCAATTCTCCCGCTTTCCATTTTCCCGCCCCATTCTCCCGCTTTCCATCACCCCGCCCCATTCTCCCGCTTTCCATCACCCCGCCCCATTCTCCCGCTTTCCATCACCCCGCCCCATTCTCCCGCCTTCCATCACCCCGCCCCATTCTCCCGCTTTCCGTCTCCCCGCCCCATTCTCCCGCTTTCCATCACCCCGCCCTATTCTCCTGCTTTCCATAACCCCGCCCCGTTCTCCCGCTTTCCATCACCCCGCCCCATTCTCCCGCTTTCCATCACCCCGCCCCATTCTCCTGCTTTCTATTACCCGCCCAATTCTCCCGCTTTCCATTTTCCTGCCCCATTCTCCCGCTTCCCATCAACCCGCCCCATTCTCCCGCTTTCCGTCACCCCGCCCCAATCTCCCGCTTTCCATCACCCCGCCCCATTCTCCCGCTTTTCATAACCACGCCCCATTCTCCCGCTTTCCGTCACCCCGCACCATTCTCCCGCTTTCCGTCACCCCGCCCCATTCTCCCGCTTTCCATCACCCCGCCCCATTCTCCCGCTTTCCATCACCCCGCCCCATTCTCCCGCTTTCTATCACCCCGCCCAATTCTCCCGCTTTCCATTACCCCGCCCCATTCTCCCGCTTTCCCTCACCCCGCCCCATTCTCCCGCATTCCGTCACCCCGCCCCATTCTTCCGCTTTCCGTCACCCTGCCCCATTCTCCCGCTTTCCATCACCCCGCCCCATTCTCCCGCTTTCCATCACCCCGCCCCATTCTCCCGCTTTCGATCACCCCGCCCAATTCTACCGCTTTCCATTTTCCCGCCCCATTCTCCCGCTTCCCATCACCCCGCCCCATTCTCCCGCATTCCATCACCCCACCCCATTCTCCCGCATTCCATCACCCCACCCCGATCTCCCGCTTTCCATCACCCCGCCCCGATCTCCCGCTTTCCATCACCCCGCCCCATTCTCCCGCTTTCCATCATCCCGCCCCATTCTCCCGCCTTCCATCATCCCGCCCCATTCTCCCGCTTTCCGTCACCCCGCCCCATTCTCCCGCTTTCCGTCACCCCGCCCCATTCTCCCGCTTTCCATCACCCCGCCCCATTCTCCCGCTTTCCATCACCCCGCCCCATTCTCCCTCCTTCCATCACCCCGCCCCATTCTCCCGCTTTCCATCACCCCGCCCCATTCTCCCGCTTTCCATCACCCCGCCCCATTCTCCCGCTTTCTATCACCCCGCCCAATTCTTCCGCTTTCCATTTTCCCGCCCCATTCTCCCGCTTCCCATCACCCCGCCCCATTCTCCCACTTTCCATCACCCCGCCCCATTCTCCCGCATTCCATCACCCCACCCCATTCTCCCGATTTCCATCACCCCGCCCTGATCTCCCGCTTTCCATCACCCCGCCCCATTCTCCCGCTTTCCATCATCCCGCCCCATTCTCCCGCCTTCCATCACCCCGCCCCATTCTCCCGCTTTCCGTCACCCCGCCCCATTCTCCCACTTTCCGTCACCCCACCCCATTCTCCCGCTTTCCATCACCCCGCCCCATTCTCCCTCCTTCCATCACCCCGCCCCATTCTCCCGCTTTCCATCACCCCGCCCCATTCTCCCGCTTTCCATCACCCCGCCCCATTCTCCCGCTTTCTATCACCCCGCCCTATTCTCCCGCTTTCCATCACCCCGCCCCATTCTCCCGCTTTCCATCACCCCGCCCCATTCTCCCGCTTTCCATCACCCCGCTTTCCATCATTCCGCCCCATTCTCCCGCTTTCCATCACCCCGCCCCATTCTCTCGCTTTCCATCACCCCGCCCCATTCTCCCGCTTTCCATCACCCCGCCTCATTCTCCCGCTTTCCCATTCTCCCGCTTTCCATCACCCCGCCCCATTCTCCCGCTTTCCATCACCCCGCCCTATTCCCCCTCCTAACATCACCCCGCCCCATTCTCCCTCCTTCCATCACCCCGCCCCATTCTCCCGCTTTCCATCACCCCGCCCCATTCTCCCGCTTTCCATCACCCCGCCCCATTCTCCCGATTTCCATCACCCCGCCCCATTCTCCCGCTTTCAATCACCCCGCCCCATTCTCCTGCTTTCCATCACCCCGCCCCTTTCTCCTGCTTTCCATCACTCCGCCCCATTCTCTCGCTTTCCATCACCCCGCCCCATTCTCCCGCTTTCCATCACCCCGCCCCATTCTCCCGCTTTCCATCACCCCGCCCCATTCTCGCGATTTCCATCACCCCGCCCCATTCTCCCGCTTTCCATCACCCCGCCCCATTCTCCCGCTTTCCATCACCCCGCCCCATTGTCCTGCTTTCCATCACCCCGCCCCATTCTCCCGCTTTCCATCACCCCGCCCCATTCTCCCGCTTTCCATCACCCCGCCCCATTGTCCCGCTTTCCATCACCCCGCCCCATTCTCCCGCTCTAATTCACCCCGCCCCATTCTCCCGCTTTCCATCACCCCGCCCCATTCTCCCGCTTTCCATCACCACACCCCATTCTCATGCTTTCCATCACCCCGCCCCATTCTCCCGCTTTCCATCACCCCGCCCCATTCTCCCGCTTTCCATCACCCCGCCTCATTCTCCCTCCTTCCATCACCCCGCCCCATTCTCCCGCTTTCCATCACCCCGCCCCATTCTCCCGCTTTCCATCACCCTGCCCCATTCTCCCGCTTTCCATCACCCCGCCTCATTCTCCCGCTTTCCCATTCTCCCGCTTTCCATCACCCCGCCCCATTCTCCCGCTTTCCATCACCCCGCCCCATTCCCCCTCCTAACATCACCCCGCCCCATTCTCCCTCCTTCCATCACCCCGCCCCATTCTCCCTCCTTCCATCACCCCGCCCCATTCTCCTGCTTTCCATCACCCCGCCCGATTCTCCCACTTTCCATCACCCCGCCCCATTCTCCCGCTTTCAATCACCCCGCCCCATTCTCCCGCTTTCCATCACCCCGCCCCATTCTCCCGCTTTCCATCACCCCGCCCCATTCTCCCGCTTTCCATCACCTCGTCCCATTCTCCCGCATTCAATCACCCCGCCCCATTCTCCCTCCTTCCATCACCTCGCCCCATTCTCCCGCTTTCAATCACCCCGCCCCATTCTCCCGCTTTCTATCACCCCGCCCCATTCTCCCTCCTTCCATCACCCCGCCCCATTCTCCCGCTTTCCATCACCCCGCTCCATTCTCCCGCTTTCCATCACCCTGCCCCATTCTCCCGCTTTCCATCACCCCGCCTCATTCTCCCGCTTTCCCATTCTCCCGCTTTCCATCACCCCGCCCCATTCTCCCGCTTTCCATCACCCCGCCCCATTCCCCCTCCTAACATCACCCCGCCCCATTCTCCCTCCTTCCATCACCCCGCCCCATTCTCCCGCTTTCCATCACCCCGCCCCATTCCCCGTCCTAACATCACCCCGCCCCATTCTTCCTCCTTCCATCACCCCGCCCCATTCTCCCTCCTTCCATCACCCCGCCCCATTCTCCTGCTTTCCATCACCCCGCCCGATTCTCCCACTTTCCATCACCCCACCCCATTCTCCCGCTTTCAATCACCCCGCCCCATTCTCCCGCATTCCATCACCTCGCCCCGTTCTCCCGCTTTCCATCACCCAGCCCCATTCTCCCGCTTTCCATCACTCCGCCCCATTCTCCCGCTTTCTGTGAGGATCTAGGATCGAGCTCAGAAAAGAGAATTGTAATTGAATGAATCACCTGGGTACAACACGAGGCTATATATAGGCTCGACACAAGGCCCCGTAACCAGGTGTTACGCGAAGGTTCCGCGGGTCGCGAAGCGTCCCGAACAGATCCTTACCGAATTCGGTAGAAGGCAATTCGGTGGCCGCCGAAAAGCCAGAATTCGGTTCACGCAACCTAGCTCGGTGCTATAACTATAATAAAATATAGGAAAGCACCTAGCCTAGGAAAGCAAGCAATTCATGCATGCATATGATTATCCTATACTAGAAATAGCATAATAAAGTAAAGGCAAGCAAGCATAGCTGGCATAAGCCGTCGTACTCTCACACGTCCCCCCCTCAAAGCTGGGTGGCGTGAGAAACACCCTGCTTGACAAGATAGTCCTTGAGAGCACGGCGTGCGTTGCCCATATCAGCTTCTGCAACCCAACTATCCTCAGTGGGGTCGTATCCCTTCCAGCGTATCAGGAACTCGAGGGCCTTGCCGCTGCGGCGCCGATGAGTGAGAACGCGCTCGATCTCGTACTCGGGTTCATCCTGTATGAGAACAGGTGGTGGTGGCGGTAGTTGCCGTCCCTGGAACTGTTGGTTGGGGTCCTTGTAGGGCTTCAGTAGCTGGACATGGAAAGCATTGTGAAGCTTCCATGTATCTGGTAAGCGCAAGCGGAATGTAACTGGTGTCACCTGTGCCTCAACGAGAAAAGGACCACAGAAGCGAGGCCGGAGTTTGGATGGGAGGTGAGACAGGTTCAAGTTGCGCGTGTCAAGAAGCACCTGATCTGTGACTGCTACTGAGTGATCTCGTCGCTGACGATCGGCATACTGCTTCTGGGAGTTCTGCATCGTGGTGAGACGTCGCTGAGTCTTCTCCCATAGCTGTTGCATGGTGGTGACGAAGTCATGTGCGGCTTGGACGTGTGCCGGTGTGGTTGGCTTCTGTGGTGTGAGTGGTTCCCGTCCGTAACACAGGAAGAAAGGAGTTTTCCCTGTGGCCGCATGTGAGGCGTTGTTGTAAGCGAACTCTAGGGTCGGTAACTGTGTGTCCCAGTGGCTGACGTCGTCCTTGCAAGCTGTGCGCAGTAACTGTTCAACCACTTGATTGAGTCGCTCTGTCTGTCCGTTAGTCTGGGGGTGGTATGCTGAAGACATTGCAAGCTTTGTCCCCAACAGTCCCATGAGCTCCTTCCAGAACTTACTGGTGAATTTTGGGTCTCTGTCTGAGATGAGTGTAGCGGGGATGCCATGGATGGTGATGATGCGGTCGAAGAAGAGGCGCGCAGTTGCTTCAGCTGTTGCTGTGGCGTTGGTCGGTATGAAGTGACCCATTTTGGAGAACTTATCGATCACCACGAGGATGGAATCGTGCCCCCGTGAGGTCGAAGGAAGTCCTGTGATGAAGTCGAGGCTAACGACCTGCCATGGCTGCTCCGGTACAGGTAGAGGCTGAAGTAACCCTGCTTTTTTCTGCTTGCTGCTCTTCATCCGCTGGCACGTGTCGCATGAGGTGACGAACTG